TTGGGGGGTGAATAATTATGCACGCAGGTTTTCATTTTTTTTGTCTTATTTCTTGTTTGTTTCACAATAAAACATATTTTGCATCTTGAAGGTGGTAGGCATGTTGTCTAAATCAAATGATACAATCCCCCTAGAGAATAATTGTGATATAATAAAAACAACTCTCACTAATTTAAAAACATATTATACTAAAACAATTACATGTAAGAAAAAGAGAAATAACAGCCTACCTTGGTTAAATGACACCCAATGGCAGTTAATTTAAAAAATAGATGCTGCACTAAAGAAAGCCCAAAACTGGACTACATTGGTGACAGAATGATATTCAGAGGGCTGAGGAACAAGGTAATCTCACAGTTAAATTCAAAGCCAACTCTTTCATTAACATCATAAATGAGGCGAAAGGTGATTGTAAACAAATTTGGAAAAACCTAGACAGTTTAACAGGCAAGAGGCAAGACAAATTTAAGGGAGGTATAAAACTGAAAGTTGATGGAAGATTAATCGAGGATAGCTACTCTATAGCCACTACTTTTAACAATTTCTTTATTCAGTCTGTGCAAGATCTGGGGCAAAAGTTTACAGTGAGCGAGTTATGTATCACCCAATGCGATGACTCCCTCAAAATGTTTGATACGATTCAAACTACTTAGGTGAAAGTAAACAAAATCTTAAGCAGCTTGAAAACCTCTAAAGCCAAAGATGTTTATGATTTTGATAATGTGTTCTTTAAAACACATAAATATATTTTAACATCACCAATAACCAGGGGCGCAACTTTGGTTTTAGAAGTGGGGGTGACATATTGTTTTAACATTTATTTTGTTAAATATTTTTATCCAGTCGGATAAACACTCCAATGTCCCCCGTCCCCGTCCCCGTCCCCAGTGAAAGTTGCGCCCCTGCCAATAACATATTTGACTAAGTTACCCATCAATTCCCAAAGGAAATGAAGTCAGCTATTGTTACCCCCATATTTAAGTCTGCTGATTGTTTTATGGTCAATAATTATAGACCTATAAGTATTTTGCCAATCATTTCAAAGGCTGGAGAGAGGGTAGTTGCTGAACAATTGACTGATCACTTGAATACTAGTGATTTCTCATTACACCCCATGCAATTTGGCTTCAGAGCTAATCATTCTACTGAGTCAGCAAACTGCTATTTCTTAGAGAAGGTTACATTTAAACTTGACAAAGAGGGAGTGGTAGGATCTGTGTTTTTAGATTCGCAAAAAGCATTTGATTCTGTAAATCACAGAATTCTACTCTCTAAACTAGCTGAATGTAATTTCTACCCCAATGCTTTAAAATGGATGGATTCTCATATCAGTTGTTTTAGAATAGCTCAGTGCTTTCTGTGGTGTTGGGGCAGCCAGCGAAAATTTGAAGTGTAGGGGTTGGTAATGTTCTCTAGTTGCGCCGTGATTGGCTCAGTGTTCTGTCATTCATGGGGTACACTAGGTCACCGCCAAGTCTAAGGGTAGAGCTCGAAAATTCAAGCCCCTTGGGTGCTGCCATATAGTTACATTAGAAGTGCCCATCCAAGAAGGCTCAAGGTCATTGGCCACAGATAAAATGACATCAAATCATGTTATATAGGCTCCCGAGTGGAACAGCGGTCTAAGGAACTTTGTCTCAGTGCTAGAGGCGTCACTACAGACCCTGGTTCGATTCCAGGCTGTATCACAATCAGGCCATGATTGGGAGTCCCATAGCGCGGCCGTCATTGTAAATAAGAATTTGTTCTTAACTGACATGCCCAGTTAAATAAAGGTTGAATAATAATAAAAAATATATATACCACAGGTCAAAAGTTTTAGAACACCTACTCATTCAAGGGTTCTTCTTTATTTTTTTAACTATTTTCTACATTGTAGAATAATAGTGAAGACATCACAACTATGAAATAACACATATAGAATCATGTAGTAATCAAAAAAGTGTTAAACAAATCAAAATATACTTTACATTTTATATTCTTCAAATAGCCACCCTTTGCCTTGATGACAGCATTGCACACTCTTGGCAATCTGAAATATAAAATATATTTTGATTTGTTTAACACTTTTTTGTTACTACATGATTCCATATGTGTTATTTCATAGTTTTGATGTCTTCCCTATTATTCTACAGAGTAGAAAATAGTAAAAATAAAGAAAAACCTTTGAATGAGTAGGTGTTCTAAAACCTTTGATCGGTAGTATATATCTAAAGTAGCTTTGATTGGACTGAAAATGATTTTATTTTTATTTTTTAGTCGCTCTTATCCAGAGCGACTCACAGTTAGTGAGTGCATAAATTTTTCATACTGGCCCCCCGTGGGTATCGAACCAACAACCCTGGCGTTGCAAGCGCCATGCTCTACCAACTGAGCTACAGTGAGTTCAAGACTACTGGGACCGCTCCTGTCTCAGCCTCCAGTATTTATGCTGCAGTAGTTTATGTGTCGGGGGGCTGGGGTTAGTTGGTTATACCTGGAGTACTTCTCCTGTCTTATCCAGTGTCCTGTGTGAATTTAAGTATGCTCTCTCTAATCTCTCGTTCTCTCTTTCTCTCTGAGAACCTGAGCCCTAGGACCATACGTCAGGACTACCGGGCATGATGACACCCTGCTGCCCCCAGTCCGCCTGGCCTTGCTGCTATTCCAGTTTCAACTGTTCTGCCTGCGGCTACGAAACCCCTACCTGTCCCAGACCTGCTGTTTTCAACTCTAAATGATCGGCTATGAAAAGCCAACTGAGAGACCTGAGCCCTAGGACCATACGTCGGGACTACCGGCCGTGGTGACTCCTTGCTATCCCCAGTCCGCCTGGCCTTGCTGCTATTCCAGTTTAAACTGTTCTGCCTGCGGTTATGGAACCCCTACCTGTCCCAGACCTGCTGTTTTAAACTCTAATGATCGGCTATGAAAAGCCAACTGAGATTTATTCCTGATTATTATTTGACCATGCTTGTCACTTATGAACATTTTTGAACATCTTGGCATGGTTCTGTTATAATCTCCACCCGGCACAGCCAGAAGAGGACTGGCCACCCCTCATAGCCTGGTTCCTCTCTAGGTTTCTTCCTAGGTTTTGCCTTTCTAGGGAGTTTTTCCTAGCCACCGTGCTTCTACACCTGCATTACTAGCTGTTTGGGGTTTTAGGCTGGGTTTCTGTACAGCACTTCGAGATATTAGCTGATGTAAGAAGGGCTATATAAAATAAAATTGATTGAAATTGATTGAAAACAAGCTCCTCACTGGGAAAATAAGTTTTGAACGGTCATCCAACTCGGAATTCCAAGTTGGGAACTCAGGCCTCTTTCTAGAGCTCCGACCTGAAGATCACTAAGGTTATGATTCGACCTCGTTTTTTTTCCGAGTTCCCAGTTGTCTTGAAAGCACCATAAATCCAGAGAATGCCAGACTTTGATGACAAAGTTTCATGACAGAATTTGCCCACGAAGGACCGCCGCACCACCTTCCTGCTCAAGTGAGCACAGCACAACAAGGTGAGTCCAAAAATGTATTGTATGCTGCTGCATAAATGATGTAATATGCCAGGGAGATATGTATACTGTAGCTAAGAAAGTAAAACGAAGTGTATGTTGTGTAGTAAGCTGTTAGTAGCCCATGTGCCTCACCCTAATAATTTGGTCCCTTTTTCCCTCATAATTTTGCCTACTGTTCTGACTTGGTGATGCACATGTAGCCTATAACCTGTTTTAGAGAAATGTCATCATCGAATAGTGTAAGAGCTTTCATTGTCTGCTTATATGCCCCCTTTATTTACCCTATGGTTCTGACTTGATGTACAGGGAGAATACTGTAAGAACGGCCCATGGTTCTGAATTCTGTCGCTGTACATTTCATTGACTACGTCCGTCCAAGCTCGCTCATTATTGTCTTAATTTAAATTACAGATTGCCTCTTATCCACTCGTCATCCCCTTATGCCACAGTCTGTACATCTCAATTGTCAGTAGAAACCACATTTGTTTCAGCAAGTCAGCCATATCAGCTATGTTCTTTTATTTTATGTAGTAAATTAGGCTGAATGAACTGTTTCTCTGCCAGGTAAGGCTCCGCTGATAGCCAGGTGTAACAGTGGTAAGGTGTTGGGACTGCTGTTGGGGCTCTGCTGTTGGGACAGCTTTATGTAGGCTGGTCATGGCTCACATCAACACCATCATCCAATTTCGCATACCGCCACAGATGACGCAATCTCAATCGCACTCCACACTGCCCTTTCCCACCTGGACAAAAGGAACACCTATGTGAGAATGCTGTTCATTGACTACAGCTCAGCGTTCAACACCATAGTGGCCACAAAGCTCATCACTAAGCTAAGGACCCTGGGACTAAACACCTCCCTCTGCAACTGGATCCTGGACTTCCTGACGAGCCTCCCCCAGGTGGTGAGGGTAGGCAACAACACATCTGCCACGCGGATCCTCAACACGGGGGCCCCTCAGGGGTGCGTGCTTAGTCCCTTCCTGTGCTCCATGTTCACACACGACTGCGTGTCCAAGCACGACTCCAACACCATCATTACGTTTGCTGACGACACAACAGTGGTAGGCCTGATCACCGACAACGATGACAGCCTATAGGGAGGAGGTCAGAGACCTGGCAGTGTGGTGCCAGGACAACAACCTCTCCCTCAACGTGAGCAAGACAAAGGAGCTGATCGTGGACTAAAGGAAAAGGAGGGCCAAACACGCCCCCATTCACATCGACGGGGCTGTAGTGGAGCGTGTTGAGAGTTTGAAGTTCCTTGGTGTCCACATCACCAACAAAACTATCATGGTCAAAACACACCAAGACAGTCATGAAGAGGGCACGACAATGCTTTTTCCCCCTCAGGATTTGGCATGGGACCCCAGATCCTCAAAAAGTTATACAGCTGCACCATCGAGAGCATCCTGACTATGCTGTAAATGTGCATTATTTAGCATGCCCTCCTGATGTGATGCTGAGGAGAAGAGGGGTGTACTAAAAATAAAAGGTGCTCACCGAGCACTTTCCCACTCGACTGTACTTCCTGCCACTCTCCCCCACTGCGTAGATATAGATGTAGTTGTCATGAGAGCCGATCGCCAGGAAATTGCCATCTAGGGATAGGGACAGGAGATGTAGGTTAGAACAGATAATGTCGCCGACATAAATAATATGGCATGTATCCGTATCACAGTCAACCTACACTGAGTATACAAAACATTAAGAACACCTGCTCTTTCCATGACATAGACTGACCAGGTGGATCCAGGTGAAAGCTATGATCCCTTATTGATGTCACTTGTTAAATCCACTTCAATCAGTGTAGATGAAGGGGAGGAGACAGGTTAAAGAAAGATTTTTAAGCTTTGAGACAGTTGAGACATGGATTTTGATTGTGTGCCATTCAGAGGGTGAATGGGCAAGACAAAACATTTAATTGCCTTTGAACGGGGTATGGTAGTAGGTGCCAGGTGCACCGGTTGTGCACAGGGGGGCCAGTATGAAAAATGTATGCACTCACTAATTGTAAGTCGCTCTGGATAAGAGCGTCTGCTAAATGACTAAAATGTCAATTGGATCGCTAAAAAAATAACTGCAATGCTGCTGGCACAACTGTGGGAAGCACTGGAGTCAACATGGGCCAGCATCCCTGTGGAACGCTTCCATGCCCTGACGAATTTAGGCTGTTCTGAGGACAAATGGGGGTGCAACTCAATATTAGGAAGGTGTTCCTACTTCCCATTTTTTTTATACTGGATTCACCTGGTCAGTCTATGTCATGGAAAGAGCAAGTGTTCCTAATGTTTTGTAAACTCAGTGTATGTGGAAGTAGTTTAGTGCCCAACATATGTGTTAAATATGTTAAATATGTGGGGGGAAGAAAATCTAATAATTTCCTGATCTTCTTATATCTCTCAGATATAGGACAGACACTTAAAAACAAGCTTCCTTTAGATTTGTTTTTTACTATCTGTTTTTCCATGTATGAATCTGTTATTCAATGCGTTTCTATGGGCTAAGGCCAAATTCAATGTTTCAGCAAAAATCTAATATATATCCTTTTTATACCTAAAGGGATCCTAAAATTCAAAATCAAATAGCGAAATGATTGTTGGTTTGACCATCTTAAAACAATCCATATGTTAGCTTAGTAGAACCACCCCCCCAGGAATACGGTCCATGCGGAAACACATGCACTTAAAAAGGGACATGCGATTAACAGTTTCAAAAAATTACGCCACGTTAACGCGTTATTAACGTGTTAACTTTGACAGCCCTACAACTATCATCTGATAATGATACTGACTAAATAACAGCCATTTTTATTTAGAAGATGTGCTACATAGAGAGACATAACCTATTATAATCCTTATAATATGTCATAATAAAGCCTCATGCATGCTTATAACAAGTAATAAAGCAATATAAGAGCCTTAAGAACACTTACCCGGTGCAAAGCTTATAACAGACAGCTGTTCATTTCCATCTGTGTGCACTGTGACTAGATCCTTAGAGTCGGTCTCCAGCACCAGCCACCTGTATGATGAAAGTTATCCATCCTCTCATGATTAAAAGCATACTAACACATCACATCTCCTGTAGTTTCACAACACCCCTTTGAGATTCATATTGTACTGAAAAGCACTATGCAAATTACATGTGTTATTATTGTTACTGGCAGATCTCTATGGCTTTTGTGATTGAATTGGCATAATAAGATTCTCCTCGAGCACTACTTTCTCACCTGCCGGTCTGCATTCCTATAGCAACCACTGCTCCAGAGGGATGGAATCCAGCAGACTGAGCTGCGTCCTGTTCATGAAAGAAACAAAGGATGTCTCATTTCAATACTGCATCCTAACACATTTTACCACACCCAAATAACCAGCCTCAGTGAAGATCTATTACAACACAGAGAGACTGAAGCTTTTTGAGAGATTTATAAACACAAAGGGTTGAGATAGTACCCTACACATTTCTCCACTATTATAATTAGGGCACAAACATCGTTTTTCTGAATCAGATCATGTGGTCAGCAAAAGCTTGTGGTAGCCTGGTCCCAGATATGTTTGTGCTGTATAGCCAATATATTTGTCATGACAGTTGTTGGCTATACAGCACAAACATATCAGGGAACAAGCTAAGCTTGTGGCCCTTCTACTCATACATTTCATGTTAACTGAGTATAACGTGTGAGGCTCAGAGTTGTCCCCCAGGGAGCACTGTCTGCCTCTCTACCTCCATAGTCTTGGTCCAGACAGGCTGGTGCGTGGAGGTGTCCCACAGGCTGACGTGCTTGTCGTGGCCACAGGTGAGGAAGTGGGGTTTCCAGGGGTGCACGGCCAACCCCCACAGCTCATCGGTGTGACCCTGGAGCAGTTAGGGAGGACAGTTAGCCTAGTTGGCATTCAGTTGCTAGAAAGAGGCAAATACTTGCTTAATGTAGTCCCATTCTGTACTTTCCTCTAGCTGGGTCCATCTGTTACCATTAGCATTGCTACATGCACCAAAAATGCTAGCCAGAAGATGCTGGACATTACTAAATAACCAGCTAATGAGCTTAAAGAATGTCTGAATTAACTGAAAACACCCTACGTCAGCATGAACTAGAATGTCCAATCATTGTACCCACAGCCATATCTATATGGCTTTGATTTTACCCACTTGTGTGATGGGGGTAAATTCGCCGTACAAACTGCCTTGTAGAACATAGTTCCTGGTGGTCCCAATAAGCACACTCTCCCCTTTGCCCTCGGCAACAGTGCGGACAGGGCCAAATAACTCAGGAACCTGGGAAAGGTGGGAAAATAAATATGATTATTCATACCAATGGTAAGCTTCCTGCCACGGTAGGTGTGAGGGTTGTTTTCTTTGTATTATCTGTGTTTGATTTTACAGATGGCTGGGTGGGGGGTATGGAGAGGGGACATGGGCATTGTAAAAGAGCACATTTTCCTTGTACAAATCATTGGTATTACTGTTTACATAAATACTTACTGTGAACATGCATCAACCAAAACCCCCATATTTCTGAAAAAGCTAGCATTATCTTTTGCAATATGCAAAAGGACTTCAAAGGACGTCTTAATTAATTTATCCTATGGCCAAGACCCTGATATACTGTAGATGTACTATGGAAATGGCCTATATCATGGGTCTACTTTTTTGGGTGTATGTACACGAATCCGCACGTGTCTCACCTCAACCGATTGGATCTGCTGGTAGCTCCCATCCCAAGAGATGAGTTTCCGATCTTTTCCTCCTGACACCAATGTGCTGTTCCTCAACATACACAGTGCAAAGATGCTCCCCTCGTGTGCACCCTGAATGGTGTGGCTAATTCGATTAGTGCCTGTAAAACAGAGAGAAAGACAGAACACCCTTGGAGAAGGCAGAAGATAGCTAGCTGTTTGTTCTACAACACATGGTCAAGAGCAGTTCACTCACAAGACAGACCTTGTTGTTCTATCCTAGGCATGACCATATTCTGACCCCAGCCTCCTGACAACTCTCTCATAATAAAGAGCCTTTGATGAGCCAAAATGGGGCAAAACAATGGGCCAATAACCAAAAGGTCGCTAGTTTGAATGACCAAGCCAACTAGCTGAAAAATCTGTCTGTGACCTTTTTGTTTTATTTTTGTATATTCTGTCAATGTTCCCCCTTGAGCAAGGCACTTAACCCTAATTGCTCCTGTAAGTCGCTCTGGATAAGAGCGTCTGCTAAATGACTAAAATGTAAATGTAACAAACACACACTCTGAAAACAACAGGACAGGGAGCTGCACTCTTAGAAAAAAAGAACCTAAAGGGGTTCTTTGGCTGTCCCAATAGGATAACCCTTTGAAGAACCCTTTTTGGTTCCAGGTAGAACCCTTTTGGGTTTGATGGTTAATTCTATCGAATGACAGTTTTACCTTTTCCCCACACCAGTATATTTCCACTTGAGTCTCCAGTTATGGTGTCTCCATTTTCTGAAAAAGTCACACACAAGAAAAACTTGGGCTTCTCTTGTTTCTGCAAGGAACATAAATATGGCTTTATTTACTTGGGGGGCAGAGATAGAACAGAGTTGTATAGTCAGAAAACAGACGGAGATAGACATGCAGCTTCAATAACACTACAGAGAACCTAACTACTGAAAACCTGAAAATATGACATTCTCTAACATGGGGTGAAGAACTAAAGACCAAAGGCAACACAGCCGGTTCTAGCTGCATTGAATTTAGATAAAAGCGTCTGCTAAATGGCATATATTATATTGATTTTAGCAAATACATTTCCTCTAAAACTCAGATTATCTAGCAGATGAACATGAGGCAGTATAAATGAGAAATCTCATGTCATACCTCGAACAAGCCTTGCTTCTTGGCAAGGGTACCCCTCTCCAGTGTCCAGAAGTAGAGGTGTGACTTCCCACACGTGACTATAATGTTGGTGTCAGTGGGGTGGAAGTCGGCAGCGAACACTGCCTCGTTGGAACACTGTAACGGGACAGAAACAATCATCGTGACACGTGCCAAACGTCTATGAGGATCGATAGAGCAACTCAAAAGCCAGGTAAGCTTTCCTGAGGCCTGAAGACTTTAGTTTAGAGGGCTAACAATTTTCTGATGCGCACAGGTTCAAACCCCGGTCGGACACATATACACTCACCTTGACATCAGCCAGTCTCTCCTCTCTCTGCCAGTCCCACACAGAGAGCACATGGTCGTTGGAGTCGTCTACTACACACAGTGTGTTGCCTCCGTTCTGCACAGATCAAGAAAGATGGATCAGCCCTGTCCTCAGTTATTTAGGAAACCTTTTCTGACCAGTAAAGGCACACTCAAAATCTGGTTCACATATGAGATATGATATGCATGCATGTTGTTTTACCAAGGTCCATTGCTTACCGACTTGGAGAATGCGAGGCAAACCAGGGCGCGGTCAAAGAAGCCTGTCCCCAGAACGTGGAGGGTGTTGAGGCTCACAGAGTCCCAAACACGCACATGAGGAGCCAACTGCTGTCAGTACACACACACACACATACACACACACACACACACACATTATTTCTAATGATTAAATAAGTGAACTGTTCATAGGTTCAAAGTTATGTGAGGATGAGAGGTCACTTACTTTGCCTTCAGAAGACGTGCCTGCCACCTGTCCTGTTGCTATGGTGATTTTATCAGGATGTACAGCCAGACTATAGAACACAGACAGAGGAACAGAGAGACGGCAAACACTTTGAACATCTGAAGGCCGATTTGAACAATGATGAAAAACCACTGAGACCTCAAAGCATATCAAAGATAAATGTTTTGTGTCTTAAGTGTAGTATGAAACTGTGAATTGCTGTTTAGCATATGTTATTGCAGGTGTAGCAAAATGCTTGTGCTTCTAGCTCCGACAGTGCAGTAATATCTAACAAGTAATATCGAACAATTTCACAACATATACCCAATAAACACAAATCTAAGTAAGGAATTAATTAAGAATATATACATATTTGGATGAGCGATGTCAGAGCGGCATGGACTAAGATACAGTAAAATAGTATAGAATATAGAATACAGTATATACTTATGACATGAGTAATGCAAGATATGAAAACATTATTAAAGTGGCTAGTGATTTCTAGTCTATGTCGATAGGCAGCAGCCTCTAATGTGCTAGTGATGGCTGTTTAACAGTCTGATGGCCTTGAGATAGAAGCTGTTTTTCAGTCTCCCATAGTCGCCTTCTGGATGATAGCGGGGTGAACAGGCAGTGTCTCGGGTGGTTGATGTCCTTGATTATCTTTTTGGCCTTCCTGTGACATCGGGTGCTGTAGGTGTCCTGGAGGGCGGGTAGTTTGCCACCGGTAATGCATTGTGCAGACCGCACCACCCTCTGGAGAGCCTTGCGGTTGTGGGCGGTGCAGTTGCCTTACCAGGTGGTGATACAGCCCGACAGGATGCTCTTAAAAGTTTGTGAGGGTTTTAGGTGCCAAGACAAATTTCTTTAGCCTCCTGAGGTTGAAGAAGCTCTGTTGGGCCTTCTTCACCACACTTTCTGTGTGGGTGGTCCATTTCAGTTTGTCAGTGATGTGTACGCCAAGGAACTTTAAGCTTTCCACCTTCTCCACTGCGGTCCCGTCGATGTGGATAGGGGGGTGCACCCTCTGATGTTTCCTGAAGTCCACGATCATCTCCTTTGTTTTGTTGACGTTGAGTGAAAGGTTATTTTCCTGGCACCACACTCCCAGAGTCCTCACCTCCTTCCTGTAGGCTGTCTCGTCATTGTTGGTAATCAAGCCTACTGGTGTTGTGTCGTCTGCAAACTTGATGATTGAGTTGGAGGCGTGCTTGGCCATGCAGTCATGGGTGAACAGGGAGTACAGGAGTGGGCTGAGCACGTACCCTTGTGGGGCCCCAGTGTTGAGGATCAGCAAAGTGGAGGTGTTGTTTCCTATCTTCACCACCTGGGGGCGGCCCGTCAGGAAGTTCAGGACCCAGTTGCACAGGGCGGGGTTCAGACCCAGGGCCTCGAGCTTAATGATGAGCTTGGAGGGTACTATGGTGTTGAATGCTGAGCTATAGTCAATGAACAGCATTCTTGCATAGGTATTCCTCTTGTCCAGATGGGATAGGGCAGTGTGCCAAGTGATGGCGATTGCATCGTCTGTGGATCTATTGGGGTGGTAAGCAAATTGATGTGGGTCTAGGGGGTCAGGCAAGGTAGAGGTGATATGATAATAATATGCCATTTTGCAGACACTTTTATCCAAAGCGACTTACAGTCATGCGTGCATACATTTTTTTTTTTGTGTATGGGTGGTCCCGGGGATCGAACCCACTACCCTGGCGTTACAAGCGCCATGCTCTACCAGCTGAGCTACAGAGGACCACAGAGGAATCCTTGACTAGTCTCTCAAAGCACTTCATGATGACAGAGGTGAGTGCTACGGGGCGATAGTCGTTTAGTTCAGTTACCTTTACTTTCTTGGGTACAGGAACAATGGTGGCCATCTTGAAGCAGGCAGGGAGAGATTGAATATGTCCGTAAACACACCAGCCAGCTGGTCTGCGCATGCTCTGAGGACACGGCTAGGGTTGCCGTCTGGGCCGGCAGCCTTGCGAGGGTTAACATGTTTAAATTTTTTACTCACGTCGGCCATGGAGAAGGAGAGCCCACAGTCCTTGGTAGCAGGCCGCGTCGGTGGCACTGTGTTATCCTCAAAGCGGGCGAAGAAGGTGTTTAGCTTGTCCGGAAGCAAGACTCAGTCTCTGCGACGTTGCTGGTATTTCCTTTTGTAGTCCGTGATTGTCTGTAGACCCTGCCACATACTTCTCGTGTCTGAGCCATTGAATTGCGACTCCACTTTGTCTCTATACTGACGTTTTGCTTGTTTGATTGCCTTGCGGAGTGAATAACTACACTGTTTGTATTCTACCATATTCTTAGTCACCTTGCCATGGTTAAATGCAGTTGTTCGCGCTTTCAGTTTCACGCAAATGCTGCCAACTATCCACGGTTTCTGTTTAGGGTAGGTTTTAATAGTCACAGTGGGTACGACATCTCCTATACACTTCCTGATATACTCAGTTACTGTATCAGTGTATTCGTCTAAATTATTTTCGCAAGCTACCCGGAACATTTCCCAGTCCGCGGAATCAAAAAAATCCTGAAGCGTGGATTCGAATTTGGTCAGACCAGCGTTGAGTAGTCCTTAGCACAGGTACTTCCTGTTTGAGTTCCTGCCTATAGGAAGGGAGAAGCAAAATGGAGTCGTGGTCAAATTTGCTGAAAGCAGGGCGGGGGAGGGCCTTGTAAGCATCGCGGAAGTTTGAAAGCAGTGGTCCAGTGTTTTAGGAGCACGAGTACTACAGTCGATATGTTGATAGAACTTCGACAGCCTAGACCTCAAATGTGCTTGATTAAAATTCCCAGCTACAATAAATGCAGCCTCAGTATATGTGGGTTCCAGTTTGCATAAAGTCCAGTGAAGTTCTTGGAGGGCCGTCGTGGTATCGGCTTGAGGGGGGATATGAACGGCCGTGGCTATAATGGAGGAAAATTCTCTTGGGAGATAATACGGTTGGCATTTGATTGTGAGGTATTCTAGGTCGGGTGAACAGAAGGACTTGAGTTCCTGTATGTTACTACAATTACACCATTAGTTGCTAATCATGAAACACACACCTCTTCCCTTCTGCTTCCAGGAGAGATATTTATTCCTATCTGCGCGATGAACTGAGAATCCCTCTGGCTGGACCGATTCTGACAGAGTATCCCGAGAGAGTCATGTTTCCTTGAAACAAAGTACAGGCCCTGATGTCTCTGGAAACAAATCCTTGCCCTGAGCTCATCTACTTTGTTAGCCAAAGACTGAACATTAGTGACTAATATACTCGGAAGCGGTGGGTGGTGTGTGCGCCTCCTAAGTCGATGATTGATTGATTCCTACTGATGTTGACAAGACTGTCCCCTTCTTCCCCTTCTGTTACTGACAGCTTCCGATAGAACGGCACAACAGAAGGGCACTATGCCTTACAGAGATAAGTGAATGTCAGGAATATCTGTATTACAGTGAAAAGGAAGCTAACATCTTTCTGTGCCCAGCCATGACTCAACTCTAATTATTTCGCTTTTCATTATGAGCATGACCTCAGGGCGACCCCTCAAGTTTCAGCTCATTATATTTCCAACCAGCCTTTTCTGTCTGAGATAATTACCTGGCCATCGCTATCACTGAGGACAAAGCAGCTGCAGACCAGCCACCTGTTTACCCTATGGGTTATTCTATGGGACTATATGAGAATACTGATCAAAGCAGTGGTGTCACGGTAGCTCTGTCTGTATAGAAATACGGAGGATTTGATATCAAAGGTAGCGTGACACAAGTGTGCAACAAGGTGGGTTGCAAAGCCCTTCCAACTTTGGATACCAGAAACATTTGTTTATTTTATTTAACCTTTATTTAACCAGGTAAGCCAGTTGAGAACAAGTTCTCAATTACAACTGCGACCTGGACCAAGATAAAGCAAAGCAGTGCGGAAAAAACAACAACAGCACAGAGTTACATATGGAATAAACAAAACGTACAGTCAATAGCACAATAGAAAATCTATATACAGTGTGTGCAAATGTAGTAAGTTATGGAGGTAAGGCAATAAATAGGCCATAGTGCAAAATAATTAACACTGGAGTGATAGATGTGCAGAAGATTATGTGCAAATAGAGATACTGGGGTGCAAATGAGCAAAATAAAAAACAATGTAAATAACAATATGGGGATGAGGTAGTTGGGTGGGCTAATTACAGATGGGCTGTGTACAGGTGCAGTGATCGGTAAGCTGCTCTGACAACTGATGCTTAAAGATAGTGAGGGAGATAAGTGTCTCCAGTTTCAGAGATTTTTGCAGTTCGTTCCAGTCATTTGCAGCAGAGAACTGGAAGGAATGGCGACCAAAGGAGGTGTTGGCTTTGGGGATGACCTGTGAGATATACCTGCTGGAACGCATACTACGGGTGGGTGTTGCTATGGTGACCAATGAGCTAAGATAAGGCGGGGATTTGCCTAGAAGGGATTTATAGATGACCTGGCGCCAGTGGGTTTGGCAACAAATATGTAGTGAGGGCCAGCCAACGAGAGCGTACAGGTCACAATGGTGGGTAGTATATGGGGCTTTGGTGACAAAACGGATAGCACTGTGATAGACTACATCCAATTTCCTGAGTAGAGTGTTGGAAGCTATTTTGTAAATGACATCGCCGAAGTCAAGGATCGGTAGGATAGTCAGTTTTATGAGGGCATGTTTAGCAGCATGAGTGAAGGAGGCTTTGTTGCAAAATAGGAAGCCAATTCTAGATTTAACTTTGGATTGGAGATGCTTAATGTGAGTCTGGAAGGAGAGTTTACAGTCTAACCAGACACCTAGGTATTTGTAGTTGTCCACATATTCTAAGTCAGAGCCGCCGAGAGTAGTGATTCTAGTCGGGCAGGCGGGTGCAAGCAGTGTTTGATTGAAGATCATGCATTTAGTTTTACTAGCGTTTAAGAGCAATTGGAGGCCACGGAAGGAGTGTTGTATGGCATTGAAGCTCGTTTGGAGGTTTGTTAACACAGTGTCCAATGAAGGGCCAGATGTATACATACTTTAGTTGTCAACAAATTATTGTAAAAAAATTGCTTAATAAATTACTCAACTGTACTGTTGGTCTGAGAATACATGGATGATGGTGAAAATTATTTATAGCTAGGTGAAATAGGGCAGTGTTTGATGAGTATAGTGTCCATATTAGGACAGCATCATACGTCCAGCTTAGGTCGAAATTTCTGTACAGTACAGGAGAAATAAAGTTTCACATTCTGTTTTTTCTCACCACTTGATGTCATCAGTGTGCCCGGTGTAGTGTCTCTGGAGCTGCTCGTCCACGTTGTACAGCACCACAACAGATGCAATGAAGTAGACCGTCTCTCCCGTGGGTAGCAGGTACAGGTTACAGCGACAGTCACGTCCCCTGTACCCATAACTGGGCATCTAGGTCAAGATCCACATAACTTCAAAAGGACATCAACTGTAGCCTACATATTAACCAATATAGTTTGATTGAATTCAATGAGGCACTTAAATAAAAGCTGCTTGGCCCCTTATGCCACCGTAGTCTATATTTACAACCTATCATACAGACACCCTCTGTGACCTTCCTGAGTTCCAAATGGATAATTCTGTAAGATACGATTGACGCACTTCTGTTGAAAGTATATTCTACCTCTTGGTGATGTCATTCGGAAACACAATGTCAACTTTCACTGCTATGCGGACGACACACAACTGTACACTTCAATGAAACATGGTGAAGCTCCAAAATTGCCTACCCTGGAAGCCTGTGTTTCAGACATAAGGAGGTGGATGGAAGCACATGTTTTCCTTTTAAACTCGGACAAAACAGAGATGTTAGTTCTAGGTCCTAAGAAACAAAGAGATCTGCTGTTTGATCTGACAATTAATCTTGATGGTTGTACTGTCGTCTCAAATAAAACTATGAAGGTACTCCGAGTTACTCTGGACCCTGATCTCTCTTTTGACAAACATATCAAGTATATTTCAAGTGCAGCTGTTTCCATCTTCGTAACATTGCAAAATCTGAAATGTTTTGTCCCAAACATTATCCAGAAAAACTAATCCATGCTTTTGTCACTTCTAGATTAGACTACTGTAATGCTCTACTCTCCGGCTACCTGGATAAAGCACTAAATAAACTGAAGTTAGTGCTAAATACGGCTGATAGAATCTTGAATAGAACCAAAGAATGTATCATATTACTCCAGTGCTAGCCTCTCTACACTGGCTTCCTGTTAAGGCTAGGGCTGATTTCAAGGTTTTACTGCTAACCTACAAAGCATTACATGGACTTTCTCCTACCTATCTCTCTGATTTGGTCCTACCGTACATATCTACATGTATGCTACGGTCACAAGACGCAGGCATACTTATTGAATTTCTAAGCAATCAGCTGGAAGCAGGGGTTTCTCCTATAAAGTTCAATTGTTATGGAATGGTCTATCTATCCATGTGAGAGACACCGACTCAGTTTTGACCTTTAAGTCTTTACTGAAGACTCATCTCTTCAGGAGGTCCTATGATTGAGTGTAGTCTGGCCCAGGGGTGTGAAGGTGAACGGCAAGGAACTGGAGTGACAAACCGCCCTTGCTGCCCTCTCTCCACTGGGATTCTCTCCCTCTGACCCTATTACGGGGGCTGAGTCACTGAGTTACTAGTACTCTCCCATGCCATCCCTAGGAGGGGTGCGTCACATTGTGCCTTGCTTTTTTCGCTATACTTGACTTGAGTCGGTTGAGTCACTGACGTGATCTTCCTGTCTGGTTTTACACCCCCTCGGGCTCGTGCGGTGGAGAAGAACTTTGTAGGCTATCCTCAGCCTTGTCTCAAGGTAGTAAGTTGGTGGTCTGTTGATATCCCTCTAATGGTGTGGGGGCTGTGCTTTGGCAAAGTGGGTGGGGTTAGTCCCGTGTAGTTCAGTTGGTAGAGCATGGCGTTTGCAACGCCAGGGTTGTGGGTTCGATTCCCACGGGGGGCCAGTATGAAAATGTATGCACTCACTAACTGTAAGTCGCTCTGGATAAGAGCATCTGCTAAATGACTAAAAATGTAAAATGTTATATCCTGCCTGGTTGGCCCTGGCCGGGGGTATCGTTGGACAGGGCCACAGTGTCCCCCAAACCACCCCCTGTCTCAAGATTGTAAGATCAGTACAACATGCTATGAAAAATGAGGGGCATGGTGTCCTCTCACCCAGGAAACGGTTTAGGTTGAGGAAGTGGGTCATAACCGTGCATAAAGGTCTACCTTCAGACACCATTTAGATTAAAGTTTTCTTTCTGGCACTGGGGCTTTTTGAGCTTTGCAATTGGTCTCTTTCTTTGCTGGCTTTTCTCTCACTTCTTATGGAGACTCTATAGGTAGGCTCGCTTAATATTAATGGTGCCAGAGATGCGGGAAAGAGGAGTGTGTTGGGTGAAAATGTAAAACAAAGAAAAGAACAGGTGTTGTTTCTGTAGGAGACACATAGTGATGTGGTGAATTAAGTTGATTGGGGGCTCTGGTGGAAAGGGGCAAGTGTGCTGAGCCATGGGACAAATGTTAGTGCAGGGGTGGCAGTCCTTTTTGTACCGGGTCTGTCTGTAAAAATTAGCTCCTCAAAAGAGGTGTATAGGGGTAGACTGCTTGTAGTAAAAGCAGAAATTAACAACAGGGGTTTTGTCTTTACAAATGTGTATGCGCCTAACACAGGGAGAGAGAGGGGGCTTCTATTTGGGTGCCTTAGACAGGAACTCTCACAGATATCGCCTGAGGAGACGCTGGTGGTCGGCGGGGACTGGAGCTGTACGATGGATTTGACAAAATACAGTAATGGGGAGGAGCCTCATTCAGGCTCAGTGGGGGTGTTAAGGGATATCATTAATCAGTTTGACCTAGTGGACTTTTGGAGAACTAGACATCCCAACACAAGACAGTATACATGGGTGAAGGTCTTTGGGGCTAGGGTGAGTGATCGATTTTATATGTCCAGGAATCAGAGCAATAGGCTATTGGGCACTACCATTGACCCGGTGGGTTTTTCGGACTATCACATAACCATGGCTCGGCTGTCTATTTCATCAGGTCCTCGGCAGGCATACTATTGGAAGTTTAATGTAAAGCTCTTACAAGATGCCACTTTTTGTTCAGGTTTCCAGACTTTTTGGGAAAGGTGGGGGCAGCGACGAGAGGAGTATGAGTCTCTGAGTCAATTTTTGGGCAGCTCTGACTCTCCTGCCCAATAAAGGGGACTTGTGAATTTAAGAACTGGAGGCCTGTGGCATTGCTCTGTGCAGACTACAATATATTTGCCAAGGTCCTCGCTAACAGACTGAAGTCCCATCTGGACTCTATAGTACACAAGGACGAGACATATTGCGTACCAGGACACTCAATCACGGACAACTTGTTTTTAATCAGGGACATGTTGGACTTGTCGAGAGGTTCTAATGTGAACTTTGGACTGGTCTCTTTAGATCAAGAGAAGGCTTTTGATAGAGTGGACCATGAGTGTCTGTTTAATGTGATGTCTGTAATTGGGTTTGGGGAAAGGTTTTTGGCCTGTGTGAAGATGTTGTATGCTGGGGCATCATGTATGGTCAAGTTGGAAGGGGGGCTCAGTAGGCTAGTCTGGTGAGGCGGGGCATTAGACAAGGATGCCCTCTATCAGGGCAGTTATATACACTAGCCATTGAGCCTTTTTTGGCCTGCTACGCAGGAGACTGCAGGGAGTGTGCTGGACAGGCATGGGTGTGTTGACAGGCATAGCAGCGTCAGCGTATGCAGATAATATTTCTGTGATGGTCAGGGATGGTCGGGATATGCAGGCACTAGAGACTAGTCTGAAGGTGTACAAGGGAGCTTCGTCAGCTAAGATAAACTGGGGCAAGAGCAAAGCTCTGTTATGTGGGGCATGGGGGGATAGGGCCCCTCCTCTGCTTCCAGGGGGTTTGCAGTGGGGTTGTGAAGGGCTTAAAGATCTGTGGGTGTACCTGGGCTCGGAGAGGTGGGTCAGGAAGAACTGGGAGGGGCTGTCACAGGCAGTGGTGTCGAGACTAGCCAGGTGGACTTGGCTCCTGTCCCAAGTGTCATATAGAGGGAGGGTGCTGATAATCAACAACCTGGTGGCATCTTCCCTGTGGCATAAACTGGCTGTCCTCAACCCCCCCGCCGGTCTGCTCGCAGACCTGCAACACAAGCTGGTGGATTTTTTCTGGTCGGGCCATCACTGGCTGAGGGCGGCAGTGTTGTATATGTCCGTAAATGAAGCAGGACAGGGCCTGGTGGAACTGTAGAGCAGGGTGCCTGCATTCCGACTAAAGACGGCGCAGAGACTGCTGTACCATACTGATGTCGGATGGAGGGAACCAGCATGCGCGCTGCTGAGGAGAGCAGGCGGATTAGGTTGGACCGGCAGCTATTCCTCAAGAAGCTGGAGGGGCTGAGTACAGCAGGTCTCTCTGATTTTTACTCTTCGGTGCTGAGGGCCTGGCAGCTACTAAGGCCCACACGAGAAGGAGGTGTGGAGCCTGGGCTGTGGGTGTGGGAGGAGCCTATCTTCCACCCTGCAGAGGCGACTGATGGCAGCGGGATTACTAAGGCTGGGTGACCTCCGACTGCTGGGGGAGGAGGGGTGGAAAACCCCAGAAGTCGTAACACAACAAACAGGACTAACATCTCTTAGGCTGCTGGAGAGATTCCTGGGGGAAGTCCAGGAGGCACTGTCTGAGCCGGTAAGGGGGGTTGTTTGAGCGGCCAAAGGGGGAGGGGCCACCAATGTTTCCACCACTGCAGGTGACGGCAGAGACTGGGGACTGGCAAGGGGGTCTGGAGGACTTGTTAGATTTTAACACTCCGAGCCTGGGGGATTTTGAAGGGGTGGAAGGTAAAGCCCTATACAACCTCTGTATTTAGGTAAGGAACATTAGGAGCCTAACAGGAGTGAAGGCACATCAGTGGCAGGGGGTATGTGGGGCAGAGAGTATGGTGGGTTTTAGATGGAAGGGGCTCTACAAACTCCCAGTGTCAAAGAGGTCAGGAGACCTCCAGTGGAGGGTTCTACATGGAGCCCTGGCCACTAACAGCTGGTTGACACGGGTTGAACCGGGAGTTGGACAGGGATGTCCTTTCTGTGTCATGAGTGAAACTGTGATTCATGTGTTTTATTTGAGAGGTTGGGGGTGGAGTTTACTGTCGGGATGTTTATAATGGGGTACAGGTATTCAAATAACGAAAAGGCCAAATGTGTGGTGTTGAATTTTCTGTTTGCTCAGGCAAAGTTGGCTATTTGGCTAACAAGGAGGAACAGGGTCAAAGGTGGGGGGATAACACACCCTTTACTATTATTTCATGGGATGGTCTCTGCCTGCCTAAGGGTAGAATTTGAGTTCTATAAAATGATAAAAAGTGTGGAGATGTTTCAAGAGATATGGTGTGTTGGGGGGGCTGTCTGTATAGCTGGGGAAGATGGTCTGGATATATGGTTGTAGAAGTGGTGAGGTTTGGGTTATTGTGATGTGTGGTATTGTTTTTGTATCGTGGGGTAGGGGGCAAGGTGAGTATTCAGTACAGGGGGTTTTGGTAATTTTGTAAGTTTTATTTTAAGGGGGGGAGGTGAGGTTTTAATGAAATGAGAATGTGTCATGAAAGAAAGACTAAAAGTCAAAGTCTCCCTCTCTCCCGGAGGACCTGAGCCCTAGGACCATGCCTCAGGACTACCGGGCCTGATGACTCCTGGCTGTCCCCGTCCCCAGTCCACCTGGTCGTGCTGCTGATTCAGTTTCTGCTGTTTTGCCTGTGGCTATGGAACCCTGACCTGTTCACCAGATGTGCTACCTTGTCTCGGACCTGCTGTTTTCGACCCTATCTCCCTCTCTCCTCTCAATTCAATTCAATTTAAGGGCTTTATTGGCATGGGAAACGTTTGTTACACCTTTCCAAAGCAAGGGAAGTCGTATGAACAAAGTAAATAAACATACATATCAGTTCTTTACACTCAGAAGTTCAAAAGATAAGAACTTTCAATCTATTCATTTCAGTTTCTGAATGAGTCTCTTCCATGACTCACCAGATCTCTCCTCATCGAAATGCCGACCGCTCTCTCTAGCTCTCTCGCTCTCTATCTAGAGCCTCTGAATCTCCATCCGTATCTCGACTCTCTCTATCTATCCGCATCCTCGTCTCGCTCTCTCTCTCTCTCTCGACTCGTCTCTCTCTCCTCCCCTCTCTCCCTCCCTCCCTCCCTCCCTCCCTCCCTCTCTACCGCACTCGCTGTCGCGACCCTATGAAAAGCCAACTGACATTTACTCCTGAGGTGCTGACCTGTTGCACCCTCTACAACCACTGTGATTATTATTTTACCCTGCTGGTCATCTATGAACGTTTGAACATCTTGACGAAAGATCTGGCCTTAATGGCCATATACTCTTATAATCTCCACCCGGCACAGCCAGAAGAGATTTGGCCACCCCTCATAGCCTGGTTTCTCTCTAGGTTTCTTCCTAGGTTCCTGCCTTTCTAGAGAGTTTTTCCTAGCCACCGTGCTTCTACATCTGCATTGCTTGTTGTTTAGGGGTTTAGACTGGGTTTCTGTACACGCACTTTGTGACATCTGCTTATGTAAAAATGGCTTTATAAATACATTTCATTGATTACATTTGATTGATTAGGGAAAAAGATTTATTGGAACATCCAGATGTGACTTTGTACATTCACACCTGTGCAATAGAATGCAATCTGAATCTAACTTTGGCGAATGTGTAACCTCACAATACATGGGGGGATACATCTCGCGAGTCGCAATACATCTCTGTCCTGAAAGCGTGGACTTTCAAGCCTATTGTTATAAACATAACTCAAATGTTGTAATGCCACGTAACAATCCGTTTCTTATCTTTTGAAATATACAGTACAAGTCAAAAGTTTGGACAAACCTACTCATTCCAGGGTTTTTCTTATTTTTTTACTATTTTCTGCATTGTAGAATAATAGTGAAGACATCAAAACTATGAAATAACACATATGGAATCATGCAGTAACCAAAAAAGTGTTAAACACAATCAAAATTTATGTTATATTTCAGATTCTTCAAATAGCCACCCTTTGCCTTGATGACAGCTTTGCACACTCTTGGCATTCTCTCAACCAGCTTCATGAGGTAGTCACCTGGAATGCATTTCAATTAACAGGTGTGCCTTGTTAAAAGTTAATTTGTGCGTTTGAGCCAATCAGTTGTGTTGTGACAAGGTAGGGGGGGTGTACAGAAGATAGCATTATTTGTCCATATTATGGCAAGAACAGCTCAAATAACCAAAAAGAAACGACAGTCCATCATTACTTTAAGACATGAAGGTAAGTCAATACGGAAAATGTCAAGAACTTTGAAAGTTTCTTCAAGTGTAGTTGCAAAAACCATCAAGCGCTATGATGAAACTGGCTCTCATGAGGACTGTTACAGGAATGGAAGACCCAGAATGACCTCTGCTGCAGAAGATAAGTTCATTAGAGTAACCAGCCTCAGAAATTGCAGCCCAAATAAATGCTTCACAGAGTTCAAGTAACAGACACATCTCAACATCAACTGTTCAGAGGAGACCAAATAGGGTTGTCTTCTGTATACCCCCCCTACCTTGTCACTGCACAACTGATTGGCTCAAATGCATTAAGAAGGAAATAAATTCCACAAATTTACTTTTAAGAAGGCACACCTGTTAATTGAAATGCATTCCAGGTGACTACCTCATGAAGCTGGTTGAGAGAATGCCATGAGTGTGCAAAGCTGTCATCAAGGCAAAGGGTGGCTATTTGAAGAATCTCAAATATAAAATATATTTTGATTTGTTTAACACTTTTTTCGGTTACTACATGATTCCATATGTGTTATTTCATAGTTTTTATGTCTTTGCTATTATTCTACAATGTAAAAAATAGTAAAAATAAAGAAAAATCCTTGAATGAGTAGGTGTGTCCAAACTTTTGACTGGTAGTGTACATTTAGCTTTTTGAAATGTACTGAACCTGCAACAGTGAAAAAAGGATACACCCAGTCCAGTTTGAGCTTTTTGTTTGGCAGGTCCGATTTGGCTTCCAGGCAGTAGGTATCCACAAGGTCTTTGGGCATGTACATGGTGATGGGTCGTCCCTTCAAATACATTTTCACATACCCTTCCTCTAAAAAAAGCAACAGACATTTTCAGTGGACAATTCGTCATAACTCATTGGTAACAAGAGGAGTGTTTGTGATGGTGAGAACAGTGTATGAGAGGAGTGAAAATGAAAGTGTGGTTTAGAGACTCATGCATGAGAGGGAGATGCAAAGAGACAGAAGTTATCAATAGTTTAGAGGGGTGTTATGGTTATGAGATGTTGATGTACAATACATTTTTTGTTGCAAAGGAGTGAATTAATTTAGTAAAGAAAATGATAGATCAGCAAACACAGAGATAGAAAGGCTTTTGATTCCCTTTTATTAGTAACTTCAATTCAGATAATAACAATGAACGGTGCAAAATGAACAGCAGGCAGTTTGCATTGTTATGTAGCATCATAGCATTTGTTTAATGTACAGTACAACACACAAGTAAACAAGAGAAGACAAAACAAGCAAAAACATAGGCTTATGGTGCCACAGCAAGGGAATGAAAAACCTAATTCGAACAAACCAACCAGAGGACACACAAATAAGAGTCAAAACCATGTCAATATGTGACCAAAAAAAAAAAAAAAAAAAGACAGAAAAAACACAACAACAACAAAAAACAGAAACATAACAGTCATGGAGAGGAATGTTTTTTTCCAAGTCCATTTTTACATCCACGGTTACCACAGAACCTCTTTCACCTAATGCCAAAAGCTGGGATAGTTCTAGCTTAGTAACAGATTTGGAAGTACTGGCTGGGGGATTTGATGGGGCTCTTGTAGCTTTGCGTGTCTAAGGGGGAGTAAGGGGTGTAGGACGACTGGCTGACTGACTTTCTTAGGGGGAGAGCGAACGTCGGGGTCTTCCTGACTCCATTGGACTTGACAGACTTGTCAGATGCGCTCTTGGAGTCAGGCGCAGTGGGGGGAGCGGAGGAACGGCCAGACACGGCTGCTGCGTTGGATTTGGGCGCCTCAGCGGTTCCGGTCCTTTTTGACGGACGGGCCAGATATATCTGCACGGTTACTAGGTAGGTGAGGTGGTAGAGTTGGAGAGGGGCCAGAAGGAATGGGGAGGAGGGGTTGGTAGAATATATCCAAGTTAGATGTGATCGACAACTGGCTGCTATGCTACAATGGACGACCCCAAAACATTGGACTGGTACAAGACAAGCTACGGTATCTACTGGGTAACAACCACAGGTGGGCTAAAGTACTGGGGCTCAAGTCAAGTTTGAGACTTTTACTAAAAGAGTGCATCAGTAGCTCAACCTATAACTAATGTCTATGATAAATCTGACATAATAAAGCAGCTCTTTTTGGTCTACTTTTGCTGGCATCAAAGTGAATAACATGAATGTATTATTTAAATATGTTCACTTCACTTGACCCTGCATTTACTATGGACCTGCCTTTTCTTTTACGTTTGGTTTTTCCGATGTATTTATTTTTCCACTGTCGAAGATGACAGCCTTGAATCTGGCTAAAGGACCATGAGTTTCACAACAGTCTGCTTCCAAACATGTCTCTTTCTCAATTCATCTCTCTTTAGCCAAGCTTATGGAAATTAGCAACAAGCTGTGCATCAAAAACAAGAGAAGGCAAGAGAAGGCTAAAGCAACTCCAAAAAGATTTCAAATATTATAAAGTAAAGACTTTGCATCGGCTTGTAATGCAAACAGCCCTTTTGAGGATACAAGCACAAGAAAATCGGCTTGTTGTGCTCTGAAACGGGGACTCTTAGAAGATCAGTGTTCACTGCAGGAAATATTTGGTGGGGTTTCTATGGTGACAAGGACAAAAGAGCGCTGTGTGGCTGTGAGCAAACACATCTAGAAAGTGGCAATTCCACACTACAGTTAACAGCTAGTGTAACAGCAGCACTGCAATCACTGCAATCAACCACACACAGTTCAAACTCTCAGTGTGTTAGAGAGTGTTTATTGGTCCACTGTTGGCTGACATATTGGGGAGGGATACTATCACACTCACTGTCAACTCAACCCCACCCCTACCATGGGGCAGCTCTCTGTGAATTGGGCCTATGAATCATTAAGGCAAAAGGATTCTGAGTCAGTAGCCTATACTATACGTTCTCGTATGAGACAAGAACAATAGCTGGTAGTCTAACTCTAATAGCATCAGATATGTGCAATGTAATATCTGTCCGACTACGCCAAATTGTGGCATGGCGAGATTTTAGCTACCAGACTATATCCTTGGGCGCAATTCCCATGATGGTGGGGTAGTCTGTTGGCTAAAACCCCTCCATGCCACATATGGCTCATTTATGTATATATTAACTCTTTCTTCTAAGGCCTTAGGAGAACACAATGTCCAGAGAGCTGCTAAGGTAAGGGGGCTTGAGGACCAAGGCCTACCTTTGCAGTGTGTCACTCGTCGCATCCCTTGTGAGTTCACAGAGAAGGGGACAGAAGGACCAGGTGAGGTTTTGCATGGGCTCCTGACTTGGACTTACTCATCATTGTGACTTTTGTGCCTCCATTTTATGCAAGCGCCTCTTCTTGGCAACACGTAGGCTTTTGTGCTTCAGACTTTTTTTGTATCTATCTATCTATCTTTCTGATCTACAAGTCAGAACAGGAGCAGCCGATGATTTCACATAGGCTAAGCATGTACTGTTTGTGTCACTTGTTTATTTCTTTAAGGATTCTTGGAAGATTAGCTTATGATGGGCTATAGAGAGATTCTAAAAAACAGTAAACAATTTAACATATTACATGAAGGCACGGTGTCCATTGGGACTATTTAGGTATCATCTCAATAGCTGTTATGTCTAATCAGTCACACCAGCTAAATCAGCCTAATGGGTTACTGGAGTCTAATTAACCCAGCAATCAATACCATTCTGGAGATGCTTCTTTCTCATCACAATTAATCTTATCTCATGGTGTTTACTGTTACTGCTGCTGTATACAAACTCATACAGTAAAATAAATTAATAGTACAGTGAGGGAAAAAAGTATTTGATCCCCTGCTGATTTTGTACGTTTGCCCACTGACAAAGACGTGATCAGTCTATAATTTTAATGGTAGGTTTATTTGAACAGTGAGAGACAGAATAACAAACAAAAAAAAAACAGAAAAATGCATGTCGAAAATGTTAAAAATTGATTTGCATTTTAAAGAGGGAAATAAGTATTTGACCCCTCTGCAAAACATTATTTAGTACATGGTGGCAAAACCCTTGTTGGCAATCGCAGAGGTCAGACGTTTCTTGTAGTTGGCCACCAGGTTTGCACACATCTCAGGAGGGATTTTGTCCCACTCCTCTTTGCAGATGTTCTCCAAGTCATTAAGGTTTCGAGGCTGACATTTGGCAACTCAAACCTTCAGCTCCCTCCACAGATTTTCTATGGGATTAAGGTCTGGAGACTGGCTAGGCCACTCCAGGACCTTAATGTGCTTCTTCTTGAGCCACTCCTTTGTTGCCTTGGCCGTGTGTTTTGGGTCATTGTCATGCTGGAATACCCATCCACGACCCATTTTCAATGCCCTGGCTGAGGGAAGGAGGTTCTCACCCAAGATTTGACGGTACATGGCCCCGTCCATCGTCCCTTTGATGCGGTGAAGTTGTCCTGTCCCCTTAGCAGAAAAACACACCCAAAGCATAATGTTTCCACCTCCATGTTTGACGGTGGGGATGGTGTTCTTGGGGTCATAGGCAGCATTCCTCCTCCTCCAAACACGGCGAGTTGAGTTGATGGCAAAGAGCTCGATTTTGGTCTCATCTGACCACAACACTTTCACCCAGTTCTACTCTGAATCATTCAGATGTTCATTGGCAAACTTCAGACGGGCCTGTATATGTGCTTTCTTGAGCAGGGGGACCTTGCGGGCGCTGCAGGATTTCAGTCCTTTACGACGTAGTGTGTTACCAATTGTTTTCTTGGTGACTATGGTCCCAGCTGCCTTGAGATCATTGACAAGATCCTCCCGTGTAGTTCTGGGCTGATTCCACACCGTTCTAATGATCATTGCAACTCCACGAGGTGAGATCTTGCATGGAGCCCCAGGCCGAGGGAGATTGACAGTTCTTTTGTGTTTCTTCCATTTGCGAATAATCGCACCAACTGTTGGCACCTTCTCACCAAGCTGCTTGGCGATGGTCTTGTAGCCCATTCCAGCCTTGTGTAGGTCTACAATCTTGTCCCTGACATCCTTGGAGAGCTCTTTGGTCTTGGCCATGGTGGAGAGTTTGGAATCTGATTGATTGATTGCTTCTGTGGACAGGTGTCTTTTATACAGGTAACAAGCTGAGATTAGGAGCACTCCCTTTCTCAGCTCGTTACCTGTATAACAGACACCTGGGAGCCAGAGATCTTTCTGATTGAGAGGGGGTCAAATAATTATTTCCCTCATTAAAATGCAAATCAATTTCTAACATTTTTGACATGCGTTTTTATTTTTTATTTTTTTGTGATTCTGTCTCTCACTGTTCAAATAAACCTACCATACCTAAATTATAGACTGATCATGTCTTTGTCAGTGGGCAAACGTACAAAATCAGCAGGGGATCAAATACTTTTTTCCCTCACTGTACATGTGCATAACTCCTGGTAAGGAAAGGAAAAAGGAAATCATAGATGACAATGGAGGTTTAAATGCTTAATAAGAACTTATGGGAGGATGGAAGTGGTTATGGAGGGTTGGATGATTATTGGTTGAAGGATGAACATTTTCAACACGTTACAGCACAAACGTCACCACTGCACATCACAGCACATCACGGAACATCCTTGAGTGGTACTCTGTGAGCTGGGAACTGACCAAGTGGGCAAAAGTGGTTTAAATTATGTCATTATCACATCATTATAACCAAAATGATGACACTTTGACATCTTGCAACCAATTTTGCCTGCTGGGATGCAGGCCCTGGCTTTAACCTGGCTTTAACCTGTAACATACCTTGCATTTATTTTGCACGTCTGACAAACAATGCTGACAAATTGTATGAATCCAACCATTTAATCGAACAATGGCTCAAATGGTCAGTTGATAACAGCTATCATATGTCTCTAGATTATGCAAAACAAAAGCAAGGACATTTTCCAGGGTTATGTTATGGTATGTGTCTCAAAAGCTTTAAATCTCTAACTTACAGGGAGCCACTGAGTGCATGGCATCACTGATAAGTATATAGTTGGCTCTTACCTGCATTGAAAACAGGCTCCTTAAGTTTGCTGCAGGGTGAGTAAAAACAAAAAGGTCAACACTGAACCAGGCATTGCGCCAGATAGGTTTAATCAAGTGCAGATAAAGTATTTGAAAGAAAACAAACACTACTTGATCCCAGGGTCATGTGCAGTAGGGTGAAACTTTATGAAACTGACTATAACCGGTATGTTTCCAATAAGAAATGCTTGTTTTCGTTTTCTGTTTTTAAACATTTTGCTACGGTGTGCCCTTCTGAACACTACCCAGGTCTGGCTGTGGAGGATGAGTTATTGTTGTTAGGCTGGCTGTACCTTTCACTGGCTCTCTTGCCACTGGAGTTACTCCCGGAAGAGCCGGTGCGGGTGCGGTTGCTCTTGGAGTCGGCGCTGTCTTTACGTGTCAGTGTACCCATCGTTTCGTTGGAGTTGGTTCTCCTCACAGTGCTGGAGGAAGAGATGGTAAAATGGATGATAAATCTACCTGATGGTGCATTTTGAATAAATAGAGGTGCTTAAAATAAATTGTCTAAGGAATTATGATTTGTTACTTGAAATGTCTTAAAATAAGTACCCAAGATTTCTCTCTCTGGGGGAGAGACAGTAAAATGGATGATACAATTACTTAATGGTGAAAGAAAGAAGCATAGCATTAATTGTTTGGGGAATAGTGTTAAAATAGGCTGTTATTGTTATTATTTTGTACCTTTATTTAACTAGGCAAGTCAGTTAAGAACAAATTCTTATTTACAATGACCACCTACACCGGCCAAACCCGGACGACGCTGGGCCAATTGTGTGCCGCCCTATGGGACTCCCAATCACGGCTGGTTGTGATACAGCCTGGATTCGAACCAGGGGGTCTGTAGTGACGCCTCAAGCACTGAGATGCAGTGCCTTAGACCGCTGCGCCACTCGGGAGCCCAAGTGTTGTATCCCCTCAGAGATTTTTCAGTTGCAAATCCTTATAATAACTTTCATCTATCATCGGAAATATCAAAGACTTCAAACTTGATTTTGAGAGTGGTGGCAAGGTCAAGCAAGGACCATACCAGCAACCTATGAATACCATATCTACTACAAGTCCTCATATGACACTGTAAGTACAGACCGTCATAATACACCAAAGAAGGCCCTATACCAGGAAACCCGATTACTGATCCATGACAGAGAGAGACTTTTCCCTCTCTCTCCCCTGTGATTCATTCAAGGTCACATTTGTGATGGTATAAGAGGAGATGGTTGAAACATGTCAAAAAGAAGCCCATTAAAAAATGCCTTCACAAAGGAACGGCCCCATCAGCAGTTCATTGGCTGGAATGGCTACCAGGCTCAAGTCTAATCCGGCCTGCGAGACCAAAGTCCATTCAATCCTCCCGTTGGCGGCTGATGTTATCCCCCTGGAACAGGGTCCAGCATGTGTATCTTTGTGTGTGTGTGTGTGTGTGTGTGTGTGTGTGTGTGTTTGTGTGTGTGTGTGTGTGTGTGTGTGCGTGCGTGCTTGTGTGTGTGAGGGGACCTTTGTTAGTTGATGTATGCCAGGCAGCAGGCATACCTCGATCAGGAATGGAGTTAATTAGGCCATGGGGGATTTATTGAAATCTTTGGTCTCTTTGCCAACTTAGGTTGGCATGGGAGCAGCACCTTCTGTAGTTGATCTAATTCCCACCACACACACACAGAGAAAGAGAGAGAGAAAAAGACAGAGAGAGAGAGAGAGAGATTCATTCATTCATTTCATTTAAGTTTCAGGTTTCAAGTTTCAAGTTTTAATGTCACATGGACAAGTACAGTGAAATGCCTTTCTTCCAAGCTCTAAACCCAACAATGCAGTAATCAATATTTAACCAGGGTAGTCCACTTAGTAACAATAACAATTGCAACAGCTTTCCAGGGAGAGAGATGTTTTTGTGATGAATGTTGTTATTCATTGTTCATAGAAATGATCTGTTAATTCAATGACTCGTGGATCGATTGAGGTAACATTATGAGGTTTGAGGATGGTGATGGCTTCACAGTTTGGCCACCCTCTCACCTGCGAGGAGAAGTGATGTAGATAAGTCTGGGGGGTATGCCAGACAGACTGGACAGACAGGGGGCATGCATGACCGAGAAGGGAAACAGGGAAACAGGAAGTGGAAAAGGAGACAGTGAATTGTGATAAGACAAAAAAGACAGGTGATGTACAGTATCACGCTCTGTGATTTTTAAGAGAATTAAGGTGTAGATACAGTATATGACTATAACATTTGCATCCATTTGAATCAAGTTCAGTATTGTGGCTATTGGATACAAACTGACAATACTAGTTTGTTCAAAAAGGATGTCTCATGTCTGGTAATGGACCAAATTGTCAGTTTGATAGAGATGACCTTTACAGAACAGAGCTTTGGTTGAGACTGCAAAAGTGCCATTTAAATGAGATAGAGATCAGCTGGCATGAGTGGAGGTATGGTGAAAACATGTCTTTGTGATGAATAGGAATACATGCCGTATGTCTATGATCAAATATGAGTATATGCGTGTGTGTACCTGTATGAAGGGATCTCTTGTGGAAACATCAGCACACAGCGCAAATACAAATAATAGTGTTCAATGTAAACAATTCAGCTTCCTGCAGACTTCCGTCCTTCTCATCCTAAAATAACACTGAGTTAGGAAGTATGGGCGGGTGAGCTATCCTTTGTGCAAAGTGTTAAAGTTCAGGGGTCAAGATCTTATGGAGGCCGAATCAATGTGGCCTCTATGTGCACACGACCAGGGATTCATTGTTATCTCCCATGCATGGACAAACCATTTACACTTCTAGTCCTATTAATACACAACAGACCCTTGACATTTCCCCTGTGCCTTAGTGTGTTACCGAGTCTAGCTTGGTCCGCTCCATATCACTCTATATCTATTGCTTCAGTCTGGAGAAGGTTCACCTATAGGGCATCCATGTTAGGAACTCCCTCCCACCCTCCCTCTCCTCCCCTTCGTACCTATTTACTCTATAGTCCCATCCATACACCATCCATTCCTCAGACCTGGATTATGATAATTAGACTCCAGGCATTACCATCATTGGAGGAGTGCCTATTGTTCCCAATAGCCAATTGTGATTGATTACCTGCACTCCCTTGGTCCCAGTCAGCCCCAATCAGTAAATCAATGCCCAGACTCTGAATACCAGCGCAGTGTAAATGGGGACGCCTGTGACAGCACTGTACCTTTGTTTATTATACATGTTAAAATGTCAATGGCTCTCCCTTAGGAGGAGGGGAAATTTACGCGAGGGGAAAATGAGCACAGGCAGACAGGCCACAGAGGAGATAGTAGTAATACAATGAAAGACACACAGTGTGTGTTTGCAGGAGTAAAATAATCTGTTGACTTTGTGTGGACTAGTAAAATAAACACACCAAAGGTGCAATGATTTCCTATGTTGTGTGAATTTTTAGGTGAGGTAGAAATGTGTATTTAAATAGTGTGCACTTGAGCTTTAGGGTACAATTTACTCTGACAACATTAAAATATGAATGCCCAAAATCTGGTTATCTGGAACACACAGTCATTACTGTTTTATAAAGCCCCTAGGTTCAATAAGCGAAAACTAAAACAGAGTTGGTTTTACGCAGAACAAAAAAAATACTGTTGAGAGATATCTCATAAACTGGCCCTATGTCAGGTCACGTGGTCAGGAAAACTCCTGGCCTTAGGCCTACCATAACCCTTACAAAAAAAGATAGCAGTTTTGAAACTGCAGTAAAAGTGCAGTAACTACAGTCGACTGTGGTATTTTGGACATAGTAATTGCAGAATAACTGCAGCGTACTGCAGCTAAACTGCAGTTATACTGCACTGTAACTGCAGTTACACTGCAAAATTACTGTAGTAAAAAAAGTGTTATTTTGGACGCAGTATTTGCAGCATACTGTAGTTATACTGCAGTGTACTGGAGTTATACTGCTCTCTGACTGCAATCTTTTTTCGTAAGGGAAGGTAATGGGGAGGATTTGAGCTGTGTTTACCTCTTGGTTGCTGGTGCAGCAGCATCCTTCCTGGAGCCGGTGGGGGATGGTAGCGTGCCGCAGCTTTTCTTTGGCAAGACAGTGCAGTTGTTGACAGTGTGCCTTAGAGGCAGGGCAGCCATCATGGGTCTAGCTGTAAGACAAACACACACAGTACCACAGGGTGAGTGGTGCTTTGCATTGAACTAGCTGCAACATGCAGAAAATACACTTTTCATGGTGGTCAGCTATTGGGAATTTTCTAATTCAGATATAGGGCTGCAAAATGCTAGAAACGTTCCCAAAGTTCTTGGGTTTTTCTGAAATCCTGGGTTTTTCTGAAAAACCTGGGATCTTTGGAAAAGTTTCCAACATTTTACAACTCTATTTACTGTAGGTGTGAAGTGTAATTATGAGATGGGACAATGATGTACCTGTAAAATAAATACTAGGAAAGGTTGAATACAATCAAGATATAGAGCACATGGAAGCACACACACAATACACTTACATTAAGCTTCAGATGCTCTCTATAATCTTTAAAGGAGAAGCAAACCACCATTGTCCCTGTGCCCAAGAATGCCAAGGTAACCTGTCTAAATGACTCTCACCCCGTAGCACTCACATTTGTAGCCATGAAATTCTTTGAAAGGCTGGCTCACATCAACACCAACATCCCAAACACCCTGGACCTACTCCAATTCGCAAACCGTCCCAACAGATCCACAGATAACGCAATCTCTATTGCACTCCACACTGCCCTTTCCCATCTGGACAAAAGGAACACCTATGTGAGAATTCTGTTCATTGACTGCAGCTCAGCGTTCAACACCATAGTGCCCTCCAAGCTCAACACTAAACTAAAGACCCTAGGAATAAACACCTGCCTCTGCAAATGGTTCCTGGACTTCCTGACGGCCGCCACACTGACCCTCAAAACGAGGGCCCCTCAGGGGTGCGTGCTTAGTCCCCTCCTGTACTCCCTGTTCACCCAATACTGCATGGCCGCACATGACTCCAACACCATCATTAAGTTTGCCGACCACACGAGGGTGGTAGGCCTGATCACCGACGACGATGAGACAGCCTATAGGGAGGAGGTCAGAGACCTGGCAGTGTGGTGCCAGGACAATCTCTCCCTCAATGTCAGCAAGACAAAGGAGCTGATCGTGGACTAAAGGAAATGGAGGGCCAAGCACGCCCCCATCCACATCACTAAGGAATTATCATAGTCTACACACAGCAACACAGTCGTGAAGAGGGCACGACACCGCCTCTTCCCACTCAGGAGGCTGAAAAGATTTGGCATGGGCCCTCGGCTCCTCAAAAAGTTCTACAGCTGCACCATTGAGACCATCTTGACTGGCTGCATCACCGCTTGGTATGGCAACTGCTTGGCATCTGACCGCAAGGCGCTACAGAGGGTAGTGCGTACGGCCCAGTACTTCACTGGGACCGAGCTCCCTGTCATCCAGGACCTCTATACCAGGCGGTGTCAGAGGAAGGCCCTAAACATTTTTTAAAGACTCCAGCCACCCAGGTCATAGACTGTTCAAGTGGTACCGATACACCAAGTCTGGAACCATTTATTCCTTGTGTTATTCTTTTTCTACTATTTCTCTTTCTTTTCTCTCTGCATTGTTGGGAAGGGCCCTGAAGAAAGCATTTCCCTGTTAGTCTATCCCTGTTGTTTTTACGAAGCATGTGACAAATAAAATTTTATTTGATTTAAAATAAAATTTTATTTGAGATTCATTGAAACAACAGTTCAATAGACACATGCCTCTTTATGTGCAGTCACACTGCTAGACCTTCACTCACACCTCGAGTGACTCCCTGCGCTCCATTCTAACGCCATTAGGGGCCCACTTTACCTCCTCAGCATAATTGCTAACAGCACTGATAAGGGTAGCAAGGCCTGTATTTGTATGGACGGCAGAACAGTGGCTTTGAAATATTTATCACTGCAGATAAGCTGGTGGGGTTTGTTATGCTTGCTTTGCCCGGCTGGCGTGTGTGTGTGTGTGTGGTGTGTGTGTGTGTGTGTGTGTGTGTGGTGTGTGTGTGTGTGGTGTGTGTGCGATACAGCAGAATTAGATCAAACAGGGGCACCAGGCAGAGAGTGAGAGAGAGAGTGGGGAGTGTGTATTTCAAACGAACCACTGTTTTTGAAGTGCCATGGCTCGCCTCTGTGTAGAGCAGAGGAGCGATGACTTATCCTGTATCTCACTAAGGTACAGCCAAAATATGCAAATAACTAGCATCTCAAAGTTTGTCGGTGAATTGTAGCCACATAATGTGATATTTAGTGTGGGTGTCAGGACATGCTAGAATTAAGGAAAAACCATGCAAGTGTTTCCACAGCATACCACCTCTCATCCACTCTGAGTTAGGGGGACTTGTGTGGCATGCAGTCTAGTGCAACAACATCAGAATGTCCTTCACTGGCAATGTGCTCAGTGTCAGTAGACTCAGTGGACACTAGTGCACAGTAGTACAATGTACATTTTAGGACATCCCTACTCCCTTTTGTCATAGAGACTATGGACTTTTGTCATAAAATGTACATCATACTGAAGACACAGTAGCGCTCTGTAGAGTTGCACAAAGCAGGCCATGATACAAGGGACAGAGCCTACCTGGCAGGCCATGTTAGAAGGGACAGAGCCTACCTGGCTTTCCACCATTGCTGTCTGACGAGGGGGACCTTTTCATCAAAGCTGGGTCTACAGCTGTACATACACATACCACGACAACAGAGTCCAGGAAAGGATGACAGGAAGATGAAAGTAGCGTAAACAGTGAGATATAGATAGATGGAGAAACACAATAGGAGAAGATGGGTCTGGAATGGGAGGGAAACAAAAGTTTACGTGTGTGTGTGTGTGTGTGTGTGTGTGTGAGATCCATAAGTTCTATTCCAGCTAGCACATAACGTTCTGAGAACCATATGTTTATTTCACATACAACCTTCCCACAACGTTCTGGGAATGGTGCAGGATAGTTACTTGGCTTTGGAACATTCTCAGCACATTTAAGGAACTTGACAAAAAAACGTATTTTCTTGGTATTTCATTACTTTAACATAACTTTTCCTAAAAGTTCAAACATGGTTACATTTAATTACATTTTTGGTAATATCCTATGAGCGTTCTCCAACTGGTTTGACATTGGGAATGTTCTCAAATAGTTCAGAGAACGTTACGAAACAACGTTCTTCTGTGGGAAGTTCAGTACTTCAGCAGAACGTTTTGTGCAGATTTTCTCGTGGTTCTATTTAAAGTCATGTTATCAGAACACTAAGAAAACATTCCATAAAAACCCACAAGAAAACATCAGTAACGTTTAAAGAACGTTCTAAGAATGTTATTTAAAAACATAATTTTTTTTAAAGCGTCAACAAAACTCTCTCTATTCTCTATCTTGTTAAGTGTGTTCAGGTGTGTTGGCCACACCAACTATTTGGCCACACCTGATCTTAATGAGCGCTTGTTTCTTTTGAAATGGGGTCTGTTTGAATAGACTAAAATGAACAGCTTTGTATGAGCAAAAAAAAAACATGGCATGCTAGCTCCATCCTGGTGGCGCAGTGGACTAATTCCATGGATAGAGAACAGAAGATCATAGGTTTGAGTCTCACTGATGCTGTGCCACAACAAAAAAGGAATGTGTTTGCATGATGAATGCCTTAGTAAATGAATTTCCATGTGTCCTATCTGTGCTTTGAATTCAAAACAGTTAACCTAAGCCAGCAGTGTTTTATTGAAACGTTCTCAGAACGTTATTTAAATACCTTCAAATAACCTATATCTGCCATTCACAGAACGTTAATAAAACCTCCCTGGGATGTGTGTGTGTGTACCTGTGTGTCTCTGCCCGTGCCTTTTTGTGTGACACGTCAGTTACCTTTAGTGGGTCCCCTCCTGTTGGTCATGGCGTTTTGCTCCTCAGAGATGTTGAGGCGGCGCACCACGTCAGCCAGCGCTGACTTGAGCAGCTGGATCTCGTCCTCCTGCATCTGGACACGCTGCTCCAGGGAGGCGATGCGGTCCATGACCTCCATGCTGCTGGCTGCCGATGCACTGTCATCTGGGGAGAAAGACATACTTAATATGGGCTATGCACACATATCATGGGCTGAACACACACACACAAATGCATTGGTGATCTCGCCTGAGCTCACATGTATCTCACAGGCTCAATGGATGTGGAACACCTACAGTGTTGTTGCAATATGTACAATTTGCAGTAGTTTCCGTAGACATATTGATTATGGCTTTCTCTCTGTGTCCTTGAAGGATTTTGGTTAATAAATTTGTGCACCATCCATGGAACATTAGCATTTCGTGACCTTGGGACTATAAGGTTCCATATGCGCAAATCATAGTTCTGAGATATTGAGCATCAAAGTTTTCACATTATTTTACCAAGATCGAGTCAGAACACATCAAATACATTAAGAAATGTATTATGATCATCAGACGAATTGCTGACATCACTGAACAACGACGTGACAACATAATTTCCTTTAAGATGTCTGACAGTGTTGTTTTTTAGATTGTGTGCCATTATTGTTGACTAGACTAGCCTAGACCATACTTAGAGGGAGATGGCAAAGACGTGTTCTGATTGGTCCATCTGTATTTGTTCAGGCTTGTGATTGGATTGCAGATAGAACCTTATAACTTTCTCGTTTTTCATTTTTTTCACTTAAAATGTACTTTTCCAAAGATCTAACTTTACAGACATATGAAGAACCATCGAAATATCAATTATATGTGACTAACTCATTTTTGACCAAAAAATGTCACATAGAACCTTATAGTTCCAAGGTCTCGATTTGACAAATCTACAGAACAGTGGTGGCGGTGCCATTACTAGGCTAAAGGTGAGCCAAATATACCATTATGCACCTCACTGTCCCTGTCCATCAAATCAACGGCCCCATTAAAGACCCAGCCAGCCACCCAGCGGCTGCCGCTCCTCAAACACAATGGGCAAAGGCTTTTTGTACAAGACAGTTTTATTCATGAGCTCTCTGTTATGTCTGTCTGTCTTTCTACCTACATGTCCGTACATCTGTAAGTCCGCCTATTAGCCTCCCGGCCCGTTTGTCTGTCTGTTCGTCCATCTGTCTGTTCAAATGAGCTTAACACCGCCACAGCAACCATGTCCAATGTATTGGCTTAGTCCAGGGGTCTGCTCTGCTGAGACTTTGAAGTCAGTGGGATGAAATGTTAATGGGAATCAGTGTTGTGTTCCCCTGGAGATTGATAACAACTGCCCCATGAATTATGCAGAGGGAGGAAGCAGCTGGTAATAAGGCAATCAAAATAGTGTTTTTATGAGGTTGAATCTGTGTTGAATTAAGTCGAGACAGAGGCATAGATTCTTATAAATAAACAAAATATGGAAACATGTTAAACCTCAGTCTCAATCTAATATGGCTGGTAATGTAATGGTAAATAGAATAGGTGCATGCATTAAGGACAACATTACCAGCTAAGCATGTAGACAGTGTAGTGATAGACGTTCGGTCATACATATGGTTTTTGCACAACAAATAAATTGAATCGTTTAGGCAAATTGTAGAAAAATTTAAATCTGGACTAAATATATCTAAATGAGCGGCTTGCTAATGACCAAATACTCCAACCCTTCTGCTGTACACACACACACACACACACACACACAAGCAGTCCCCCCCCCCCCCCCCACCCCCCGCACTGAACCAAAGCCCTCCCGTGTTTCTAGCCGCCTCACTTTAAATTCACTTGGCATCCCTATAGTAATGATTACAGCCATTACTGTACCCTCTTGATTAATGCTCCATTGGAGAGATAGGCCAGGCTTAACCTCTTAATGCAATACCACTTCACGCTGGCCCATACTGCCAGATAGCCTTTAGCGATAGGCCTATACCTTTAGTCATGGAAGTAAACCCTGACTGCATGGGTAGATAGATAGATCTGGGAATTAACATCCAGATCAAGCTGGTATAGCGTGCTGTAGCTCAGTTGGTAGAGCATGGTGCTTGCAACGCCAGGGTTGTGGGTTAGATTCCCATGGGGGGCCAGTATGAAAAATGTATGCACACACAAACTGTAAGTCGCTCTGGATAAAAGCGTCTGCTAAATGACAAAAATGTAAATGTCTTCTTTCATGGCTTGTCCATTTCAATTGGATCTGCACTACTGTCATCCACTGAGTAGCTAGGTTAGATATGTTCTGCAAGCTGAATCAATCACAATGGCAAATATTTACAGAGGAAGTTACTTACTTACTGGGCCTTTAAACATACAGTACTCAAACAAATGGTTGCCTAACCCAATGTGAAGGCTTTTTTTAAGGTTATAAATAATTCATTTGATGGACCTTCTTTAAATTAAGCTGTAAAGCCGGAGCTGCTACTACAGCGATGTTCTTTAAGGAGTACAAAGCCCTAGTCTCAGTGCTAGCAGCTGATTGGGGCTTGGTACGAGCATGGATACAATGACTGCCTGTCACTGCCCTGATACCACTGCGATTGGTTAGCCGATTGTACCGCTCACTCATGTCACCTAGGCTCTCACTGGAATTGACTATTCCTTATACCCACAACAGGCTGCTCAATAACAGAGAGAATAAATCAGCAAATGGAATCAGAGTAAACACACCTTGGTGATATACAGTTGAAGTCTGAAGTTTACATTCAATTAGGTTGGAGTCATTAAAACTCGTTTTTCAACCACTCCACAAATTTCTTGTTAACAAACTATAGTTTTGGCAATTCGGTTAGGACATCTATTTTGTGCATGACACAAGTAATTTTTCCAACAATTGTTTACAGATTATTTCACTTATTATTCACTGTATCACAATTCCAGTGGGTCAGAGGTTTACACACACTAAGTTGACTGTGCCTTTAAACAGCTTGGAAAATTCCAGAAAATGACGTCATGGCTTTAGAAGCTTCTGATAGGCTAATTGACATCATTTGAATACATTGGAGGTGTACCTGTGGATGTATTTCAAGGTCTACCCTCACACTCAGTGCCTCTTTGCTTGACATCATGGGAAAATCAAAAGTAATCAGCCAAGACCTCAGAAAAAATATTGTAGACGTCCACAAGTCTGGTTTATCCTTGGGAGCAATTTCCAAATGGCTGAAGGTACCACGTTCATCTGTACAAACAATAGTACGCAAGTATAAACACCATGGGACCACGCAGCCGTCATACCGCTCAGGAAGGAGACACGTTCTGTCTCCTAGAGATGAATGTACTTTGGTGCAAAAAGTGCAAATCAATCCCAGAACAACAGCAAAGGACCTTGTGAAGATGCTGGAGGAAACATGTACAAAAGTATCTATATCCACAGTAAAACGAGTCCTATATCGACATAACCTGAAAGGCAGCTCAGCAAGGAAGAAGCCACTGCTCCAAAACCGTCATAAAAAAGCCAGACTACGTTTTGCAACTGCACATGGGGACAAAGATCTTACTTTTTGGAGAAATGTCCTCTGGTCTGATGAAACAAAAATAGAACTGTTTGGCCATAATGACCATCATTATGTTTGGAGGAAAAAGGTGGTCGCTTGCAAGCCGAAGAACACCATCCCAACCGTGAAGCCCGGGGGTGGCAGCATCATGCTGTGGGGGTGCTTTGCTGCAGGAGGGACTGGTGCACTTCACAAAATAGATGGCATCATGAGGAAGGAAAATGATGTGGATATATTGAAGCAACATCTCAAGACATCAGTCAGGAAGTTAAAGCTTGGTCGCAAATGGGTCTTCCAAATGGACAATGACCCCAAGCATACTTCCAAAGTTGTGGCAAAATGGCTTAAGGACAACAAAGTCAAGGTATTGGAGTGGCCATCACAAAGCCCTGACCTCAATCCTATAGAAGATTTTTGGGCAGAACTGAAAAAGCATGTGCGAGCAAGGAGGCCTACAAACCTGACTCAGTTACACCAGCTCTGTCAGGAGGAATGGGCCAAAATTCACCAACTTATTGTGGGAAGCTGTGGAAGGCTACCCGAAACGTTTGACCCAAGTTAAACAATTTAAAGGCAATGCTACCAAATACTAATTGAGTGTATGTAAACTTCTGACCCACTGGGAATGTGATGAAAGAAATAAAAGCTGAAATAAATCATTCTCTCTACTATTATTCTGACATTTCACATTCTTAAAATAAAGTGGTGATCCTAACTGACCTAAGACAGGGATTTTTTACTAGGATTAAATGTCAGGAATTGTGAAAAACTGAGTTTAAATGTATTTGGCTAAGGTGTATGTAAACTTCCGACTTCAACTGTACCTCATGGTGTTCTCTTCTCTGAAAGATGCTCCTTCATGACAGTACATTCATTGTTTCTCAATATCCAGCCCATGGACCGATCCTGTTCCCTGTGATGATGCTGACCAGTTCCTGAGAAGGTTAGCTGACACTGATTTAGGCAGTTCTAAAGTGATATTTGTAATGTAAGCTGTCCCCAAGCAGGAAGGACCATTGCTTGTCAATTCCTGGTACTAGAAAGACTATAGCTTGCCAGTGCCTGGGTCTGGTAATTTTATTTGTTGAGAAACACTGGATCAGAAGGACAGTTACAAAGTAGTTAATTGGTTTTTAAGCAGACAGCCCTGAGAAAAAGAATGCACAAAATGTCTAAGTAAACCAACAGACACTCCATTTGTTTTGTTTTTCAATTAAGCCAGACAAAACACTTGCACTTGTTTTGTCTGGAAGCCATTTGTGTAGTGGCTTCCCACTGGGCACACCACATCATTTCAATGTGGATAATGGGTCATATTTGGTTGAGACGTTGATCAATGAGATTAAAACCTTTATTCACCCCCTCAAAAAGACAGCCAAAAATATGTTGAATTTCCAATTACTATGCTTTCAACCATCTAAATGCACAACCAAATTCAAATGGAAACATTTTGATATTTTTCACCCAAATGTCTATCACTGCGCTTTCAACCATTTAAAAGCACAGCAAAGTTCAAATGGGAATACAATGTCAGATAGTTTGTTTATTTATACAACAGAATAATATGCTCTCACTATCCTTCATCTAATAGCAGAACCAAATGACCTGG